ATTTAATTTATTATCAAGATAGGAACACACTGATATCTTAATCATTGTTATTCAGAAAAAGGTTTAAATGGATTCCGTGGGGAATCATACGTGTAATATTTTAAACGTAAAACTTGAAAGTATTGACGAATATTGTAGAACATATTTAGTATTTGCATATACATACAACCTTATAGGGATTGTTCCATTTTCATGCAAAACATGATTCTGTGTGGAATCCCCCTCATGCAAGGGCGTATACAGGGGTGGGAGGCAGTGCCCCCCCTAGAACTCAGAGATATCACACTTTTCAAACCTGAAACTGAAGAGTGAACAACATAAAACATTTGTTTGCCGTTTCTTTCTGCCAGTTTAGTTTGTAGGAGAGATAAAGTAGTAAGTACTTGCAAGATAATTGGACTGTATCTGTACCTTTAAAGTATCCAAGAAGCCAAATGTTTTGGATTCACAGTTCAAATTTTGCCCCCCTTGGAGCTCCTAAAAAAATTTGCGCAAAATTAACCCTCCCCCCCAGATTTATTTTCAGGGGGGAATATTGTTTAGTTTGTATGGGGGGGGGGGTATTGGACATTTGTCCCCCATTCTTCAAATTAGGCGAGTGGACGTCTCACAGATAACATTTCTTCCTGCACTTGTGTCCAATTGTAAGAGAAATTTTAAAACGAAAAACGAGAAATATTTAAAAGTATTTTTTTTTTATGAGCTTTTTAGCTTAAATAGATAGACGAGCCTACCTAAGCCTATTTCCATAGACTTATGGGCGAAATATGCATTGGTTAGTTACTCAAAATAACCAGGCATCATAATACTTCTATAGCATTTGAAATTGCGCAATATTTAACCCTGTAATTAGGTGAAAGAGAAGCCATGAGGCGTGTGAATAAATCATTAATAAATCATACTAATAAACAATCTCAAATTATATGAAATTAAATCCCTTGTATACTCCAGCCATGAACCTGCAACTGAAACTATTATTAATTACCGAACAGAAAAATAATAATTAACACTTGTTTTTCCAACTTTATAATGACTTAAACATGATTTCTCTGCAGAAATCTATTCAAATAATATTAAAATCAGAGTTCCCCAGAAGGGGGGGGGGGAAGGAAATATAAAAGGGTCAAAAAATATCGATACGGAGTGTTGCGTCTGAACGACAAAGGCGTCCATACAACATTAAAATATAACTACAGTGACGAACAGAAAACTCTAAAATAGTTAGACGACCTAAAGAATAAAGTTATAACTAAATAAATAAATCAAATGAGCATGAGGCACAGCAATTGTACAGTGTAAACGGGCCTGTTTCACTAAATTAGTCATATAACAAGGGTCTGGTAAAACTACTTGCTTTGTAACATCAGATACGCTTAAATACTAGTATTGCTATACTGTCGCCTTCCTATTCCATTGTTTTCTGGTTATCACTGTATCAAATCTTTCCCGTGTTTATTAGAAACTTTAATAATAAAGTCATTTCAGTTGCCAATATCAGTTTTTGTTAAGACTTAAATAATAAAGTCATTTCAGTTGCCAATATCAGTTTTTGTTAAGACTCAAGAAAAAAAAAACCCGTTTACTTTAAAGCTGAATTTTACGAATTTGACTAAAATAAAAAGAGATCTTGCTGAATATTTGTTTCAGGGAAACATTATTTTTTTAAAGTAAGAATCAAAGAGTATTAAAACTTGTACCCTCCCCCCACCCCAGCTTAATGCCCACATTGCATAGTATTACGTTTCTGTCAAGTGGATGTGATCCGACCAAGAAAAGGCATTGGCCGTTCAAAACAACAAAGCCAAAAAAATATTTCAATTTTAAAACAAAACTTTATGCGATTTTTTGCTGTTTTATGCCAGAGTGTACTTTTGAGAAATGCTGCAGATGCATTGTGCACATCAGCAACAAAAAGCCAAGATTATTACTTCACCGAAGTGCACGAAGCACATTAAAACACAAACGGTAAAGACCCGTACATTTATAATCCTCCATCTTGGATTGCATTAATAGTGTCTCCTGACATAATAAACTAGGATAGACGTGCAGTAAACAGATACTTCCTTCAAACTCTGGAAAAGTATTGGTAAAAAACAATATTGAATAATAGATTTAAACTATTTTCGACACCTGGGGGCAGACAAAATTAAACAAAAACAATATNCAGACCAGACCAGACCAGACCAGACCAGACCAGACCAGACCAAATTGTAACGAATAATCTGTTTGTCAGTCCGATCATAACTCATGCACCCTTAAAGACCGACTTGCCTGACATTTTAATAGTGGAACTAAGAACCAATTGGGAATGTTCTTAGCTCGGTTTATGAGTTCCAAGATGAGTACTGAGTAGGTTGACGAGAAGCTTAGTTTCTAAGCAAAGCTCGGTTCCCAAGCTAGTAAAGAACATGTTTATGAAGAGGATAATATTTTTTACCTTTCCCCATTCAAGAAGGCATAACACACCTTCATTGATGAGACATAAAAAAACCACCCATCATGACCCATAGTCTACTGGGGCACTTTTTCAATCTTTGAAAAGTTTAAAATGAGATTAATGATTTCTTTAAGTATATAAAAAATGGTATTTAATTAAGCTCATTTAAAGTCCCTACATAACATTTTTTAAGAATTATGCTATGTAGAGAACTATACCGAGTATTTAAGAACTATGCTATGTAGAGAACTATACTGAGTATTTAAGAATTATGCTATGTAGAGAACTATACCGAGTATGCTATGTAGAGAACTATACTGAGTATTTAAGAACTATGCTATGTAGAGAACAATACCGAGTATGCTATGTAGAGAACTATACTGAGTATTTAAGAATTATGCTATGTAGAGAATTATACTGAGTATTTAAGAATTATGCTATGCAGAGAATTATACCGAGTATTTAAGAATTATGCTATGTAGAGAACTATACTGAGTATCTAAGAATTATGGTATGCAGAGAATTATACCGAGTATCTAAGAATTATGCTATGTTTAGAACTGACGAGTATTTAAACTAATGAGATTTTTGTATAAAATTTAGAATATATGAATAGAATTTATTGATTTTCTCTGCCGTTAAATTGAATTTAAACTAAACAGGGTCCTCTCAATTCAATAAGTGATACCCCTCCCCCTCAACTTGTGACATTCTTTTCAACCAATGAGATTTGACCCGATGAGAGGGGATAGGGTTGGATTTTTTTTTATTTGTGACGTATTAAGAATGTTAAGAAACTGCACATCGTAAATAAGCATAAATTAGATAGTTAGTAGTGACTTGACAAACCCTCAGCGTCCCCTCTCCTAAAAACTGTCTAATATAAACTTGGCTTGTCTGTTTGTATCTAATAAACGTTAAACCGTAAAACAAAAAAAATGGGAACAATAACAAGAACATTGACTATTGAGCTAGCAAGGAACACCGAACAAGCAAAGAAAACTAGAATTTTCATACATGCACTAAAAGCTAGATAAAATTACATAATCTAAGGAACAATTAAAACATTGTTAAGGAATTAGGAACAAAAATAGGAACATTAAAAAAGTTTAAAGTTAGATAAAAATGAAATAACTAGGAATTAGAAACAAAAATTAAGAGCAAGGTACAAATTCGTATTGATGATCAAAACAATACAGCCTACAGGTTTGTTAAGTTAGGAACAAAAAAAGGAAAAATACAAATGCGCCAACGTCATTGATACTGTACATGAATTAGGTAAAATAGTCAAAAATAGGAACATAAAGCAAGTTAAAAACAAAAATACTTAGAAAGTTAAATGCATGTAAGGAACATTACTATGCGATGCATATTCAAGTTAGATAGGAACAATATTATAATATAAGTCTTCCCTGCCAAGGGGTCAAGGGCTGTAACTGAGTGGGGGGAGGCGCTCGGGCGCACACCCCCTGTGTTTTTACAGGAGGGCCCCCCCCCCCCTGTTGGAACACAAGAAGGATAGAATTTTTAATAAAATGCATCAGAGCGATCTTAAGTTTTCTTGTTTCTATTAAAATAGTCTTAAATTTCATTGGCTTCTATGTATATAAAAATGAACCAACTCGTTAAATCCATATTAAAGGGGTACAGTTGACGTAATTTCAAGTGACCCTCCATTTAAAGAGCTACATGAAAAGATACCATTAAAACCTTTCTCTAATTCGTATTTTTTTTCCATGTCTCTGCTGCATAAAGCTTCTAGCGACTTCAATAGAGAAACTGCAGTTAAAATTTCTTGGTTGAAAAAAACAGCTCCATAAAATGTTCTCAAATCAAGATAAAGGGTACTACTACTTTACTGTTTTATAATAAAGGGTCACCTGAAATAACGTCATAAGTCCCATTAAACAAATAATGCGAATAGGAAATAAAGAAAGACATGCATACTGAAAAGTTGCACCAATTATTTAATAATATTTTCCATGTTTCATGTTGCAAAACGTAAGACTAGATTTTTAAAAACTTTTTTTTACATTTACGTATTTAATCATGTTAATCTAAAATGCTGTGAGCTTATGACGGTTCTATGATATAAAATTAAGCAATGAAATTAAGATTGACTTTAAAAGTTTGAAGTGGAATTATTTGCGTCATTTCACAAAAAGACAAAATAGTTAGTTTTTTTTCATTTCATATTTCATATCTTTATTCAACTACAAAGCATGAGATATTACAAATAATACGGAAAAATTAAATTTTTTCTATGCATGGGGACTCTGCCCCACCTGTGACCCCCCCGCTTCGTTCATTTCGTTTCACTTTTTTGTTCCTGTTTTAAGATTTTAAATGTTAAGAAAAGGAGCGGGAAGCTTAGTTACTGAACAAAAATTAAGAAATATTTTATTTAACATCTTAAATTAACGCAGATAAAAAATAACACAAGGGCAATGCAATATCTAAAAACAGTCTGATATGTGATTAATACTTAAAATATAAACGAATAGACCTGAAACTACTGAAATTTCCCTACCCCCAGAAATAAATTTGATATAAAACCATTTACCTTGTTATAGCTGCAGACATCGCCTCTTAGGTACAGTACATCGCCTCCTGGGTACAGAACATCGCCTCCTGAGTGCAGTACATCGCCTCTTTGGTACAGTACATCGCCTCCTAGCTGCACTACATCGCCTCTTAGGTACAGTACATCGCCTCCTGAGTGCAGTACATCGCCTCCTGAGTGCAGTACATCGCCTCCTGAGTGCAGTACATCGCTTCTTAGGTACAGTACATCGCCTCCTGGGTGCAGTACATCGCCTCCTGGGAACAGTATATTGCCTCCTAGCTGCAGTATATTGCCTCCTAGCTGCAATACATCGCCTCCTAGCTGCAATACATCGCCTCCTAGCTGCAATACATCGCCTCCTACCTGCAATACATCACTTCCTTGCTGCAATGCATCGCATCATAGCTGCAGTACATCGCCACCTTGTCTTGGCACTTATCATATATGGCCTAAAATAAAATAATAATTTGCAAGTTGGTAAATAAGATAATTGACCGAATTTTCATAATTTCATAGAGGGGGGGGGGGGGGGAGAGGGGGTTGAACCTTTGAAGAAAAACAATGAAATCATAATAAAATTTGACAATATAACACTTTTTAGCTGAAAAGATTTTTCCTTGGTCAAAAGTAACGATTTAACATTACCCTTTATAAAGTTTACATAATCAACAAATTCATTAAATTATTGCACATTATCTGAATACCTAATTAGAACATTAAGAAAGATCTAATGAAACTATTTAAGAATTCATGAATTGATGAGGTTTGGAGAAATGTAATCCTTGATAGTTAATGATCTATTCACAGCTCTACAATGCTTAGTATTCGAATCCTCAATCTCTTAAAGAATTATCAAAGTTCCGACAGCAAAACATGAATGCAGGGTTCAACTCTTTAGTTCTTATTAATTTTTTTCTTCTGAACCAGGCTGTTGTTAATTTTAATGTTTTTAATGTTGGTTTGCCTGCAACCATTTTTGCTATGGACAAGATAAAACAAATATCAATTATAAGAAATATTTTACAGAATTTTCCTTTTATAGGGAGTGGCCGGCAATGTATGTTGGTTGAACTGAATATGTAGTATTGTGGACAAATTTTATAGGACTCATTTAAAACATATAAAACGTTATTCAAGTGTGAACAAAATTCTACAGAAACCAATTGAGAAAATAAAAATTAACTATTATTATTTAATAAAAGTAATCTTATTCAATTTTCAGTTTCTTTAATCTCTCATTTTTCACAAAGATTTTCTATTGAAAAGACGACATTTGAAGAATTTGCTAACATATTCACAGAAAATAAGAAATTCTATATAATGATAAAAACGAAATAATTGATTCTAACATTGATTAAATGAAAACTTTCTTTTGAGAGTTTGTTCTTAAATATATCATTAGTTTACTGTATAATTTTTACTTTATTTTTCGTCGCCGTTTCTGAAAACGTACCCACCCAAATTCATGATTTTGGACGTCGACTTTGCACTCAACTCAGTAAATAATGGAAACGTTTTAAATGTCTCAAATAAGTCCTTAAAAACTTGTCCACATACACACTACTCAGTTCAACCAATATACATTGCCGTCACTCTCATTAAATGAAAGTTTAAAATTTTGACAGAAACGGTAAAATTTAAGATGAAATATTTTCTAACCACCTTGCTTTCAGCATATTTTTGTCACTAAAAAAAAGAAATATCTAAAAAGAACTCGGAAACAAGTAAAGGAAAGGTGGCGGGGATGTTAATGGGTGACGCCAGCAGAGATGGGTACTGTGAATAAATTGATTAACAAAACGTTATTTACACTTATCTAGTGTTAAAAACGTAACAAACCATGCACCTTGTACTAAAAATGTATTAACTAAATAATGAAAAGTATAATATAAAAATGTGTGTGCTCTTTTTACTTTAAGATGTCAAGATTTCAGCAAAGCTAGGGTTCATAACCTTAGCAGGGGTAAATAGGTACAAAGAACAAAAAATTTCATCTTCGTGGTTAAAAAATGTCCGCCAAAAAAAGCAAATTGGGCCTAGATATAAAGATTTAAAAAAGAAAGGAACAGAAGTAAGAATACAGTCAACCTTAAGATAACAAATAATTCTTTGTCTATCTATACTGTAGTCTAGAATTGATAATATATATTTATGTAGGACTATAATGACTATTTTTCTCTCATGTTTTTGTATGGGGGATAGTTTTTGTTCATTGTTTAATTGAAGGGGGGTCTAGGCCCTAGGGGTGCACCAGAATAGGCCTCACACGATACAAAGCATTGACATTAAATGACAGATAGTTAAATATTTAGATACACGCCTAATGGCTAAAATGTTTAATATTATTTATCGCATTGATGATAGATAGATAGTAGAATTGAGAGAGAGGGAGAGAGAGACGTGAAGTAATATTGTCTCCTTTCTCTCCTTATAATTTCAATTTTTCATATTCAGTGATGGTTCAGTTTGTCCAGGGATGGTTCAGTTTGTCCAGGGATGATTCAATTTGTCCAGGGATGGTTCAGTTTGTCCCCCCCCAAATTAAGCTAGGATGCCTATGTAATAAGTCAATGGCTTTAGGGAAAATATTAGCGTTTATAAGAAAGCTAAATTTGAATCCCCTATCTAATCTAACTACAGACGGAGCAATAGAGAGAGAGAGAGAAAAAGACCCAGACATACATTATCAAAATTATGGACATTACGGCTTATTTCCTGTCATTATATACCAGGGAGTAGAGAAGTATACTGGCTTCCTATTGGTCTAGGGTAGGGAGGACTGAATATCATTGGTTGACGGGGTCCGTCTTTAACTGTGCCATTGCATAGGCATTCACCCCTAACCTCTAGTTTTTTTGCCCTAGCACTCTCATTTTTAATACAATGGCCGTAATTTTTTTGACTTTAAATCAAAATAAATTTTAAGGGATTTTAAAATTTTTTTAATGCATAGGGTACAGGACGGTAAAAAGTCTAGTCTGTGTAAAAAAATGGCCTATATGTTTTTTTAAGACTAAAGCTACAGATCTAAAACTGTATTTTTGAAAAGGCTTTGAAAATTGAATGTAGAAACATGAGTCACACTTTGACTTAAAACAAAACAATATTTTGTACATTTCCCCCCCCCCTTTTGGGGCATTTTTTTCAACCCTCTCTGGCACCCAAGCTTTAAAAGCTTTCTAGGGGGGGCAGTCCGTACATAGATTTAGACCCCCCCCCCCGCCTTTAAAGTGTTAAGAGACTGAAAACGTAATTTCATGCAACTCCCTTGAAGTAGCATGTCTGATTCCCAAAGTACAAGAGCTCTCAGCTTTGTCTGAATCAAGAATGCCTGAGATCTCCATTTTTTTCTCTTGGAAATTTGATTTCAGTTGGGTATAACCCCAAACAGTGACATAAGGGAATAGTAATAAAGAATTAAATTGGTTTATTTCTTCAATGAATTTATTCTGAGCTCTGAACTCATATATATCATCGTTAGTTTAAAAAACGAATAACAAAATGCTCAGTATACGTTACACAAGTAAAATAGACAGTACACTTTGAATAGTTCAGTTCCTTTAATATTGATAAAAAGATTACATACCTCTTATAGATAAAGGCATGATCCTATTTCTGCAAAAACCAGACCAGAGAAAACTGAAAAAAGACAATTTAAAATATAAGCCAGAAAACTTTTGAAAATCAAGCTCTCAACTTAACCGGAACTCATTCTTGGAGTTTTGAACTTTTAACCAATAAGAATTGAGATTAAATATATTAAGATTGATTCTCTTCTTTTCCTGTGAATCAAACGTTTTCCAATAAGACAAAGTTGAAGTCTTTACAAATAATAGATAAGCTAATCCCAAAGAGGGTTAAGAATAAGTCAATCTCGATAATTTCACCCTGTCCCTCTAGAAGTTAATAATTAATCGTATTTATTCAAATATGAATCAATTCTTAACCTGAACTGATTGGCAATGACCAAACTTATCATTACCTTATTATTACGATCAACTTATTACTTTCCAACAATGTCAGGACTGATCAAATTGATCACTTCGTATGAGGGATATAATTGAGAGATCATATCTAGGTGTAATAAGTATTTTTAAGAGGCCGCCCTCATGGATCTAGACAATTTCGAAAGGTTCTACTCCTTCTTAAGTGGAATGGTCTATTTTAAACACTTTAAATCTAAAGCTTTATTTCTGAACACTTCCCAAGTATAATTTTAAAGTATCATGATTCAGTCTCCACACTTCCACAAAGAATAACTTCACCTCGTAATTGTGGAGTTCTATCTTAAAACTTGGTAAAATCATGAATTTATGATTAAAAAGTTTTATAAATGGTGTAAGAAATCGATATCAAACAAATTTCTTTTTCTCAGAGAGCACATCAAAGTCACCCCCCCCCCCCCCCCCCCNTTATCTCATTAAGTGGCATAGTTAAATCTGAACACTTTCTAATCTTACCTTTATCTCATTAAGTGGCATAGTTAAATCTGAACACTTTCCAATCTTGCCTTTATCTCATTAAGTGGCATAGTTAAATCTGAACACTTTCTAATCTTACCTTTTTCTCATTATGTGGCATAGTTAAATCTGAACATTTTCTAATCTTACCTTTATCTCATTAAGTGGCATGGTAAAATCTAAAGACTTCCGAACCAGTAACCATACCTTTGACTCATAATATAGGGGCAGTGCTCAACGTTAACACTTCCTAACCATAATCTTAACACTTCCTAACCATGCCTTCATCTCATTAAGTGGCCTAGTTCAATCTACACACTTCCTAACCATGCCTTCATCTCATAAAGTGGTCTAGTTCAATCTATACACTTCCTAACCATACATTCATCTCATAAAGTGGGATATAGTTAACACTTCCTAACCATGCCTTCATCTCATAAAGTGGCATAGTTCCACGTAATTCCTATCATTCATTCATCTCAAGTGGCATATAAGTGACTCTGACCACTTCCTAACCATACTTTCATCTCAACTAGCATAATTCAACCATACCTTTATCTCAAGTGACATATAGTTGACTCTTAACACTCCATACCCATACCTTCATCTCAAGTGGCATATAGTTGACTCTTAACACTTCCTAACAATACCTTCATCTCAAGTGACATATTCCCAATTTTTACACTTCCTAACCATACCTTTATCTCATGAAGTGGCATAGTTCAATCCACACAATTCTTAACATTCATTTATCTCAAGTGGCATATAGTTGACTGTTAACACTTCCTAACCATACCGTCATCTTAAGTGACATATTTCAATTTTTACACTTCCTTAACATACCTTTATCTCATGAAGTGACATAGTTCAATCCACACAATACCTATCATTCCTTCACTTTAAGTGGCATATAGTTGACTCTTACACTTCCTAATCATTCAAGTGACGTATTTCAATTTTTACACTTCCTAACCATACTTTTAGTCTCGTCTCAAGTGAATAATTCAATTTTTACACTTCCTAACCACACCTTTATCTCAAGTGACATAATTCAATTTTAACACTTCCCTAACCATACCTTCATCTCATACTAAGTTAAAATATTTAAATTTTCAAATAAATTAGCACATAAAAGTAAAAAACTTATTGATTATGGGAAGCTAGCATTGCTAAATTTAAAATACCAGAATAAATGGTAGTCCTTACGAAAAACCTGCTAGCTATTTTCCCACAGGTAAACAATTGCAAGGAAAATAACAAATGTCGTCTTACTTTGAGTAAACCGGAAACATTTTTGTATGGCAATTTATTTCTCATCGCACTGCTTGTAAAAATGCCTCTAAAATAACCAATTTTAAAATGTCAAGAAGTTTATCAAATAAATTTTTAAAATTTGTAAATAACTTTTTGGAGAGTCTGGAGCCATGTTCTCCAAGAATGCGAAATAAATTTTCAAAAAACTGTTTTTATGAAATAAAACTTAAAATCATAAGTTCCAAGCACGGAAAACAAATCAGATCCTTTCTCAGCATAAATGTATGAATTGTAAAATAAACACTAGACTCACTTGTAAGCATGCAGCATGTGGTCTTTATTCTGCATTCCGATTCTGAAACAATGCATCTGTTCGTAGCACCACCATAGTGAGAGGGGGCACACTTACAATAAATTCTTACATATAACATTAACAGCCGATATAAAATCTGCCCTATTGGGCCGGCAACTCGCGAAATTTATGTGAACATGCAAATTTGGTTTCAGTGAAAAATTGAGCGTAAAAAATGTTCATATTTTATGTTTATTCAACATGACGAGTAAAAAAATATTCTGATACTGTTCTCTTTAGGAATGTTTGGGACATACTCTGGAGTAGGGGGTTAAAAATGCTCATAACGAATGATTTCCGTCACCGTGTTTGCTCCAAGAGTTATTATCTAGGACAATAATATGCTCTAAGAGCAAACAAATCCAGAGTCAAACTGTAGTGACTCATATGTATCAAAATATAACTGTCTGCATGCATAATACAGGAGGGAGAAGTTTAATCAGTAGTTTTGCCGAGGAGACTGAGCTGCGCCTCGTCCCCGGCCGCCGCCGTTGCCCCCACGTCCCCGCTGACCGACCCCTCGGCCGCCAAACCCGTTCTTTGCGTATCCTGTATAGGCGTCTACATCAATTGAGTAACACGCTGCCGCAAACAGCTTTGGTTTGTGTACAACACCTTGCAATAAGATATTAAAAAAGTTTAAAGACGGAAAATAACGATTTAAAAAATCTTGTGTAAAATAAAAGTGTCAATTATTAAATTTTTTTGTTGAAATTATCCTGTATAATATATTTGATAAGAAGATGAACAGATTTCAGAAATAATTTTCCAGAACTCATTAAAAAAATCTTCATTGGTTAGGATTGATATTGAGTAGACGCTCCTGCTCCGTTGGATTGAAACCCTCCGTATCCTGTATATCCACCCCATCCCTGCTCATATCCGGTATAGGGATTAGGATATCCATAACCAGCACCAAAGTAACCGTATCCAAACCCGCCATATCCGCCTCGACCACGAGCTAGACCCGCCATAACCGGATCCTTAACGGTGACACGCTTGATGTCGAGCTCGACACCGTTGATGGTGGTGGTGCCGAGCTTAAGCAGCTGCTTGGCGGCGTCCTCCTTCTCAAAGGTGATAAAGCAGAAGTTTTTCCTCTCATTCTTCGTTTTGTCGAAGGGCTGCTCTACGTTAGCGATGGTTCCAAATGTTGCAAAATGATCCTTGATCTCCTCGTCAGAGAGTTCAGGTTGCAGGCGGCCAACATACACTTTTCCTTGTTTTGCTTGAGCTTTTTTAACTGCTACTTCTTTATTCTAAAACAAATACATTTATAAGGTTAGTGCAAATAAATATTTCATCATAAAGCATGAAAAGAAAAAAAGAAAATTCGAATTGCAACAAAAAGACTATTAAATATGAGGTATGCCAGGCTCGGGGGGACATCCCCCCCCCCCCACTTAGTTCAAAAAATATTAAATACTAGAAATTCAAGGCGCTTCGCGCCCTTCTTTCTAGCCTTAGAGGGCGCTTCGCGCCCATCTTCTAAATTAATTGTAAACATGTTCTCTTTGTGTACATCGTAAAACTAAACAAAAATAATTTGCGGATTTTTACAAAAAATAGGAATATGAATCTCATAAATATTATACACCCCTGGTCCTGGTTAAGTGGGTAAAAATGTGACAAAAATGTAACGGCTGTTAATTCAGAATAACAATCAAGGGGAAAGATGCAAAATGACTTAAATTATGGTAAAATAGCTAGTTTGCGATAAAAGCGGGGAGGGGGGATCAATTCAACTTCTAAACAGAGTATACTCCCCAGTGTCTTTTGTCATTGTTTTTCTACCAATCGTGCGTTTTTCTGGCTGTTTTTATTATTAAATCTAGCAAGAGTTTTTCTACTGATCGTGTGTGATTCGGGCTGTGTTTGGTAATTCTACCTGTTGATCAGTGATCGAATCTGTCGAATCTGCAGGGGTAAATATTTAAAAGAATTACCCACCACCCCCCTCTTTTCAGGGGAAACAATTGAACAATTTAACGTCAAAGTCATCTTTAAATATTTGTATTATGGATTTTAACAATATTATTTTCCCATATTACCTCAAAAAAAAACCTTTTTTAAACGAAATAACTAGCATTTGGGAATGGAAACAACTTTCTTTAAAGGAAAATATACACCCCTGTCAGAATGTGTTTCTAACTAAAACGTAAATTTATACTAACAAATTGTATTTCTACCGGTTGTGTTTCGATGTATTCATATGTAGTCGTAATTGTGTATTTCTTAACATGTTATCTTAGCTGTCTAGTGTATTTCTACCTTGATGAGTTTCTGTCAGTGCTTAGGATCCGGATCCAAGGGGTAAAATATCTACCAAAAACCGCATAAACAATCTATAACACATGCATAACTTCTAGAGTAAAAATAATTATTTTTCAGAAAATATTCACCCCTGCAATTATACAAGGACTCAATTCTAAGCCCCCCCCCCCCCATAATAGACTGCTATCCACTATCCAGTATCTACGATGGTGTGTGGTGCCCTGAAGACAGTCTGGGGGTTCCACTTTGAGTTCCCTTTCAAATTTAGACTTGATTGATTGAGTTTGGGTCCATGAATTGTCAATTATTGTTAGTTAAATCTACCTTCACTGTATGTTCTTTGGCTTCTATCGCGTCACTAAGGGATTGCACAGTCTTATACAGAACGAAGGCGAACCCTCTTGACCGGCCACTAGCAGGGTCAGTCTAATCAAACAATTTATCATCTGATCAAGGAAACGGCAGTGTGTTAAATATTTTCGAAGATTTTCTTTGTGCAATGGGGGGGGGTCA